TTCATGCTAAATATCATATTAAAGACCTTGGCCCTCTTAAATACTTTCTGGGACTGGAAGTTGTTCGAACACCAAATGGATTGATTTTAAATCAACGCAAATATTGCTTGGACCTTATATCTGAAGCAGGTCTTCTTGGTTGCAAACCTGCGCCTACACCTGTTGATCCTGCCATCAAATTACATGCTGATGAAGGAGTGTTACTGTCTGATCCCTCATCTTATCGCAGACTCATTGGCAGACTTTTATATTTGACCCACACAAGGCCTGATATTTGTTTCGCTGTTCAACAACTCAGCCAATTCATTTCTTCCCCACGGGAACCTCACATGCAACAGGCTTTAAGAATTATTCGTTATTTGAAAAATGCTCCAGGATATGGTCTGTTATATCAGTTCAATACCACTCTTACAGTTCAAGCTTTTTCAGATTCAGATTGGGCCACATGTGCCACTACTCGTCGTTCAATTTCTGGGTTTTGTATCTTCTTAGGTGCATCTCTAATTTCTTGGAAATCCAAGAAACAGACCACTGTCTCACGGTCCTCAACAGAAGCAGAATACCGTTCACTAGCCTCTTTGACTTGTGAACTCCAGTGGCTCCAATACATCTTCCAAGATCTGCATTTTTCCATTCCCACCCCTTATGCTACTTTTTGTGATAACAATTCTGCCATCCAAATAGCCAAAAATCCTACTTTCCATGAGAGAACTAAACACCTTGAAATAGATTGTCATCTTATACGTCAAAAACTCCTTGACGGTCTTATTCATCTTCTTCACATTCCTTCAGCCCATCAACTTGCAGATGTCTTCACCAAGTCTCTTCATCTTGCACCTTTCCAGCATGCCACTTCCAAGCTTGGCCTTCACAACGCTTATGCCCAGCTTGAGGGAGGATGATAAAGATATACAATATATCTTTTTCTGTTATTTTTCAGTTACTGTTAGTTTTCATATAGCTTGATCTTATATATTCAAGCTTCTCCTTTGTAATAAAGTAGTGCAGTGTTTCTATACATATGAATATATCTTCTCTTCCTAACATTTATACTGATCTTCCTCCATTGTACGTTTCCCTTCACATACTTAGTCTTCTATATTTACCTAATTATCAATTATCGCATCTACCTACTTTTCTCATTAGGGGGGGATTTGGCTGCTGAAGTGACTAGTCTGTCTGGTCAGCCAGTGAAGGACTTTTCATCATTAGAAAGCCTTCTTAAGAAACCGCACATTCAATATCAACTTCTTGACAAGCATGGTTTCGGCGACAAAAGTTTATCAAGAATGGAGAAAGAATGTGTTGAGATTGATATAAAGTACGAAGGTTTCATCTTACGTCAGCAAAGCCAACTTCAACAGGTATTTATTACACTTGTGAGAAAAAGTGAATACCTTTTGGCTCTTTGTCGACATCACAATCCTAAAATCATTTTAATTTTTACACATTTTAGAAGTTCAGCTGTGAATTTAATGTCAAATTTCATTGTTATGATGGATGATTTCCTATAGTTGGTTGCTCAACACCATAGACCACTTCCCGAAGGATTGGATTACTATGCAATGACAACGTTGTCTATTGAAGCTCGCGAAAAACTTTCCAAGGTTTGTAAGTTATAAGTTCATCAATATAGATATTTGGTTTATTACTGTACAAAGAAATAGAGGGAGGGAGTGAAAGAAAAACAGAAGAGAGGTAAGAAATAAATGAAAATAAAGGTTAATTGGTTGGAAAGAAATTGAATAGAAATAATGTGATTTTTTTTTAAATTGTAATTTTTATTATTATTATTATTTTTATTATTATTATTATTATTGTTGTTGTTGTTGTTGTAACAAAAAGGAAAATAAAATAAAATTATAGACCACACAATCAATCATGGGGTCATAATCAATTATAGCATGAGAAAGTGAGTTACATACATAACTTGATTTCAAAGCAACATATTCGATGAAGTTACAGGCTTACAGCTGAACTCTATTTCCTTGCCTTTCTCTTTTTCTAACTTTTCATTATCCTCCACTCTTCCAAACTGCCCTTTTCCGTTTTCTTCCTGTCCTTTCCTTCCTCTCTTCCTTTCTTTCATCTCTTCCAAACCAACCCTCCAAGTAAGGGTGGAGCAAACCGAAATTCTTCGTCCCTAGGTCCACAATTTCACTGTACAAATTAAGTTATGATGGAAAAATAATAATGAGATATCTTGGGAATAAAATTTCTCAACCATGAGCCAACTCTTCAAGTACTAGTCAATCAAAATAGTACGGATGCTGAATTCATAGAATGACCTCTGTTCCCCCAAAAAAGCATGTATGGCAAATAAACTGATAGGATATGATAATATTACACCGACTAATTAATGTTAGGGTCTTCAACTCAATAGGCACCGGTGTAACACGGAAGATCACGAATAAAAGTAACATGGAGCTTCGAAGATGCCAATATGAAAGGAGCAAATTTTCTTTTGTTCATCAATGAAAGTTTAGTACACTTTATTAAATAGTTTTAATACTTAAAAATTTAACTGTTAAATGATGTTATGTATACTTTAAGTTATGTAATACTACAGATTATGAAATATTCTCTATAATGTAACTTGCTCTTTTACTTGACAACTATGTGTTATCCCAATGATTTCAGGTTAGGCCTCAAACCATTGGTCAGGCAAGCAGAGTAGGTGGAGTGAGCCCCGCTGATATCACTGCTCTACTCATTGTGCTCGAGGCCAGACGGAGGAAAGCACACGAACAGAGGAGGTACAAAATGATGAATGCCCTTCAAGCAAATAATACCCATGAAGAGATGCCTGAAGTTTCTTTGACTGAAAAAGTCAGCTCTGGATAATTTTTCACGTTACGTTGACACCTGACCAATCTATCAATTTTGACATTCCGCTTGCCACATTATGTATATGTGGTCTAAAAAGGCTACAAAATCATAGTGTCACAGATTTATAGATTAGCAGAAAGGATTGGAGATAAACTAATTGTTTTTTCCCTTCGTTTGACAATTTGATCCTATTGATAAAAATTAAACAAATTATATGTTGATATAACCTTTTAATGGAGAAGAAATTTGTTCCCGTATGTTTATAAAGGATTAATTGTGTTTTTCCTTTTTTAATTCAAGGATACTTTTAATTTTGCTCCTCTAATTAAAACATTACATTTTTTAGTCTTTTTAATTTTTTTGATTTTTTCCCCTTGAATTAGATAGTGGTAGGGATTGTGTTAGTGGCTTTTAGGAAGTTGTTATTTTTATCAGTAATAATGATTATGGTCACTATTTTTAATCACCGAATCAAATATTATGATTCAGTCATTAATTTAGTTGTTAAATTAGTTGAGATATCTAATAGAACTATTCAAGATATTTTTTATTGAAAAATATAAAATTGGATTTGGTGTATTACATCATTTTTAATGATTTTATTTTAATATAATTTTTTTAATAATTTTTAAAAAAATTATTTCTTTTTTATTTTTCCTCTTCAGATATTTTATTTTATATATTTTCATAAATTGTTTAATAAATAAATTATATAAAAAATATAAATATACTATGTTATATAGAATTCTTTCAATAAAAAATGGTTTGAAGTAACTAATATTTTAGATTAACATCTCTTTTAAGTAACTTTCCCTCCAATATGTTCTTATTGAACAAATTTACGATTTAATAAGGATTAAAATTATAATAAAAATTACTAACCAAAAAAATAGTAACTAGTTTAATGATTAATTTAATGACTAATTTCATAAATAAATAGATTGAATTGGTAATACATTTAGAAATTGTTTAGTGTATGAGTTAATGATTGAAGTCAATAATTTTTTTTTATTAAAATCAATAATTAAATATATGATTAATATCAATGAACAAATAAGTGACTCAAATCAATAATAAAAAATAATCATATAACTAGTGATTGATTATAGTAATTAAATTAGTCATATAGTTTTAACAATTTTAGTGATTGATTTAATAATCGCTTTAATGATAAAATTAGATATTGATTTAGTAACTAAATCAACGATCAAAATTATTATAAGAATTAGTGACGTAACTAATGATAGATTTCAATGATGAAATTAATATTAACTTTAATAATTTTAATGATTGATTTAACGATCATTTTAGTGATAAAATTAGAGATCAGTTTTAATAACTAAATCAGTTAATGATTTATTTAGTAGCTAATTTCATTGATAAATTTTGTGACACTATTTAGTGAACAATTTAACAATAAATACTTAGTTTATTAATTTTTAGATTTTAATTTTATATAATTTTAATCAAGTTTTTTAATTATATCTAATAATTAATTATTATTTTTTAGCAAATATGTCGCTTTCTTTTTTCTTGTGCCATTTGTCTTTTATTTTCTTCTTATAAACTGTTTTTTTTTCAATCATTGTAAATTTTGCTTTTATTTTTAATTTATTTTTATTACAATTATTATTATTATTATTATTATTATTATTATTATTATTATTATTATTATTATTATTATTATTATTATTATTATTATTGTCGTCGTCCTCGTGGTGTAATTATATGGTATATTCCTATACCTACAATGGTCAATTTTGGATATTTTGTGTGCATAAACATGACTTCTATAAACAACGGGTTTTCATGTGAATTGGTAGCATATCTATGAAACCAAACCATCTCTAACCTCAACTTGGATAACCATAATTGGAAACCATCCCTCTCTCTTTCTCTGTCTTTGTGGGTGTGTTCCTTCCTTCGTTAACCCCATTTTAGGTTAACAAACTTTTGAACATGCCTTGCATTTGACAAACATTCCCATTTTCAGGCTTCCTTGCAACTGCTATACCAGAAGAAACTCGAACTACGCACCTCCAAATGCACCCTGCTTCTCACCCCATGCCACCCCAATGTTCCTCCCTCCAACATTGACCTCTCATCACTTCTTCAAATGGACGAAGATAAAGACAAAATCCTGAATATTTGAACAATATATCTAAACACAAATGCCTGTGTCTGATCCTAGTTCTGGCCGCACGTTCGTATGGATCATAACTGGCGTTTTGTTCATCTCTATATTGGCAGGTGGTGCATGCCTTGTGGCCTACGTACTCCTTCCTGAATCAGAAACATCATCATCTTGGATTCCCGAAATTGGGGTGGGTTTGGTTTGCCTACCATGGCTCTTTTGGTTCCTCACCTTCATATACAGAATCTTGTCAAGGATTTTTGGATGTAGAGTTAGTATAGGCTCTGGTGGAAGTGGAGGAAATTGGGCTTCTGCAAAATCAGACGAGGAGATCGCATCTCAGGCAAAAGGTACCAACTTAAATAGGGCATCATCCGTTGCTTCACACGAGAGTGAAATGGCACTTGCCAAATCTATGGCCACATGATCTTGATTATGCTGGAGTTTGCATGCATGGCTCAATATTCTCGATGCTCTTCACCTTTTTCTTTAACATTCATGTTCTCTTCTGGGTTGCCCTATGATACATATCCACCATCTTCATCATGGCTCTGCCTCAAATCCTTCATTTCACCACCAAATCTAATCCTCACCATGCATCTTCACCTCACGAGAATATACAGGCAATGTTGGAATATGCGAGGGATGCATGCATGCATGTCCTATTCACATTCAATGACACAACACAAGTTGGTTTTCACTGAAACTCTTTATTTTTTTTTCTTTACGTAGCTTTTAGGAGACTTTTGACATGGGTTTGTGTATATAAATTCAACGAGACTCTCATTGGCTTCGTATTTTGTAGTGCTTTTTCCCTTCTTTGAAATGTGTAGTTATTAATTGGTTCATTGATATCCCTTTTAGCACAAGTTTATGATTGTTTCCTTTTTCTTTCTTCGATTTGGTTGTGCAGAAGTTTTTTTTTTATAATACCCCTTTTAATCAAATTTCTTCTCTTGTTTGTCATTCAATCTATTTGAACCAAGAAGTTAAATATGCCTCTCATGCAACGTTTTTCAAAGCTAGAAAGTGTTTAGATGTGCATGTGAATGAAGGTGGAAAAGATTGGTTCAAAAAGTGAAGGATTGATTGAGTTGGAATTGCAAGATAAATTGAAACTAAACCAAACAAAAGAGATAATTCGATTTAATTTAATTTAAATTTAATATAAAGTGTTCGTGGTACATTATTTAATATTTAATACTTTCTAATATTAAATGAGTACATGACAACTTAAAAGATTCTGAACTTGCTCAAAGAACCATACTTGCCCGGTGCATTTCACATATTTTTTAAATAAAAAGCAAATGAAGTTAAAGAAAATAAATCAGAGTGAAGTAAAAAATATTTTATACTATATTATTGATTATAGTGGATAATTAACCCGTAACATAAATAAGGTATTTATTTATGATAATATGAAGGTAAAAAAACAAAATCGAAATTAAACAGAGTTAAAAGGATGTTTAGTTATAATATGGGATAATATAATAGGTTAACTATATATTAAATATTTCAAAATTTGAAAAATGTATATTTTCTTAAGTAATCTTTATTTTTGAAGGATTTTTTTTTGTTTTATATATTAACATATGCTAATTTTTTTTGTCTCATATATTAAGCTAAGATATGAGATTCAGAAAAGTTTATAATAAATTTTGATTTTTAATGATTATGATTTTTTTTTATAAAAAGCAACAATACCAAGTATTTATTAACATTTCTATTTGCAACAAAGGACAAGGTTAAATAGAAAGAGGAAGAACATGCTTTGTCCCTAACATTCAAATTCAAAAATACTGAACAGAAGCGGGAGAAGAGAAGAAACGTCAACAATGGCGAACAAGAAGAGCTCCAAGAAACCAATGAGTCTCAATGACAGTCACTATCGCTTCCTCCAAGATCATTCCGCTCCCCCCAAACCCTCTTCCAAGCTTTTCGGTAACTTTACTCTTTTTCTCTTTTCCTTTTTCATTTCTCCTTCTTTTTCATCAACCTCACTCTACTCTTCTTCAGAGGAAGAATCGATCGAGCCCTCCACGCAAAAACAACAACACCAAAACATTCCCCAATTTTCCGCAATCACCGACTTCGATTCTCCAATCGGTACTTTCATTCCACCACCCAATCTCTGTTTACCTCGCACGCCTATTCTAATTCCCACACAACATTCTTCTTATTATTAGGGTTAAACTCGGACGAGAAACATGAACCGATCAAGGTACATGAAGCAGAAGAAGAAAAAACCCTGTCCTACGATGTTTCTACAACTAGTAAGTGTTATATTTTCTGCCTCACTTCAATATGTAATCATCACGGTCTTCATAATCTGCCACACTCGAATATTTGTGTTATTATTAGGGGTAAACTCGGACGACAAACGCGAACCAATCATGTTTCAAGAAGAACACGAAGAGGAAGATTCAGTCGACGTAGTTAATTCTTCCTCTCGTAAGTGTTATCTTCTCTGCCTCACTTCAATTTGCAACCCGTGCCGTCGTGAAAATCTGCCTCACTCGATTATCTTGGTTGTTAGGGCACAGGTCGGATGAGAAACACGAAACAATCATTTTTGAAGAAGAAGAAGCTCCACCCGACGTGGTTGATTTTCCCCCTAGTAAGGGTTATCTTTTCTATCTCGCTTTAATCAGCAAGCAGCACTGTTGTTAAAATGGTCATAGATGTTATTTTTCTTCAGAGGAAGTACGGAAGACGAAGGTGAAAGTACAGGGGCGCCGCCGCCTCTGCAAGGTCGTGCATGAAGATGCTGGAAAAAGCGTGGCGGATGATGAGTCCAAGTTTGATGAACTGATCGACCTTGATTCGCCGATTCCGGCGCCTAAAATCGTTATCCAGATTGAGAAGAGTGGGGGCAAGAATGAAATTAGGGATATTTTGAATGAACTGAACTCCAAGTTTGAGTTGCTATCTGTTGAAAGGAAGCCGAGGCCGAAACGTGTAGAGGGTTTGGTTGGAGGTAAAGAAAGTTACGATGATGAGGATTTAGAGTATGGGAGTGCAGGGTCTTCGTTTTCTCCGCAGCAGGAGAGCTTGCCTGAGGGTAATAAGAATGATGATGATGGCTGTATTGAGGATGATTCTGTTCAGGTGATGGATAATTTTGTGCCTGAGAACGATGGTTCAATAACTTTGACTGGCCCCAGATCAACTTATAAGTTGCCGGCTAAAATTGCGAAAATGTTGTATCCACATCAGCGGGAGGGGTTGAAGTGGCTATGGTCTTTGCATTGTCTGGGAAAAGGGGGAATCTTGGGGGATGATATGGGTTTGGGGAAAACCATGCAGGTAAGGAAATGAATAGAAGAACCTTGAGATATCGTGTTTTGCAATAGCTGATATATGATTGCAATACTGGATGGTTCTTGCAGATTTGTGGCTTTCTAGCTGGACTGTTCCATTCTCGTTTAATTAGAAGGGCATTGGTTGTAGCCCCTAAAACATTATTGCCCCATTGGATCAAAGAATTGTCAGCTGTGGGTCTGTCCGAGAAGACAAGAGAGTGAGGCTGCCTGACTTATTCATCTGATCTGAGTGGTTTATCTGTAACATGCAATTTGAAACTTTTCGGTTCTAAGAACAACAACCATTTGTCCTTACCTGCAGATATTTTGGAACTTCTACAAAACTCAGAGAATATGAACTTCAGTACATACTTCAGGTTCTAGATTTTTTTTTCCATTAAACTGGAAATATCTTAAATTAAATACATGGGGCTCAAGGCTGTCAGGATAAAGAAGTATGCAATGTTTTTGCATGTAGCTCAACTGATCTTAGGAATTTGAAGGAAAACTATTTTGTAGTTGGTGTAGCTGTGTTAATTTATATTTGGAAAATAATACTCATTTAAATTTGGTTCACCAGTGAACTTTTAGTTGATTGCTGGAGAATTGGTGTTATTTGGATGTTTCTGAGTTTGTTTCTCTCAATCTTCAACTTTATTCTCATGTCTTCTTCTAGGACAAAGGAGTTCTTCTCACAACTTATGATATTGTGCGGAACAATTCTAAGTCCTTACGGGGGAATAGTTATTTAGATGATGAGGAAGGTGAAGACGAGGCCACATGGGACTACATGATACTTGATGAGGTAAACATGAGTTTGTTTCATTTAAGACCTATTTAATGTTGGTTTCTTGGTTTGCCTACTTGCAGTTCATTAGTCTTTTCCCCAGTAGCTTTTGGATTTTGTATTTATCAGATGATCAATGAAAATAAATTACTTACGAAAATTTTGAAGTGTATACAGTTGGTTGAATAGAAGATATATGCGGGAAAACTTTTAATTGACAATTTTTTTTAGTTTCAATAATCTAAGCAGCTTTTAGTGTAAGAGAGTGCTTATCACCAATTGAATGAAACATGGAGGTCTGCATTTTTCTCATGCATGTTTTACCTTACTGTCATTGTCTCTTTCTATATACTTCTTTTATTTTGTAAATAACTAATTTAGTCATTTGCATTTGGACCCAGCTTAAAGCCTTAAACTTTTATTGAAGTGTCAGATATAGCTGCCAAATAGCAGGAAAAGTAGATTTTGAAGTTTTAGCAGAGAAGTGTGTTACATTAGTTACAGCAGAAACAACAAATTTATAAATATCTGAAGGATCCAAAATTTCTGTGTAAATTTTTACTTGTGTAGTATTATATTATCTGGTATGCTAAATTAATAAGCTCACCTTCTAAGTTTCTTTCTGCATATTTTACAATTAGGGATTGTAATGGGACTGCTTCAAAGTATTTGAGGATGGTATTCATTCCATAGTGTGCTGAAATTTCAATTATATGTTTAAAAATGTTTTAATCTTTTCTTGTTTTCAAAATTTTCTCAACTTTAGGGACACCTGATAAAGAACCCAAGCACACAAAGGGCTAAAAGTTTGCTTGAAATACCAAGTGCTCATCGCATTATCATCAGTGGCACACCTTTGCAAAATAATCTTAAGGTATTATTTAATGCAAACTTTTTTATTTTAATAACCGATTGAATTTTTCTTAACATCTTTCTGTTTTTTTTTTTTTTTTTTTTTGTAATAGCAATTGAAATTAGGTTATTCTGCCATTTATAATGGTTTTCATTCTTAAAACTTCCTAACAGGAATTGTGGGCATTGTTCAATTTCTGTTGCCCAGAGTTGCTTGGTGACAACAAATGGTAATGATAATTTTGAGGCTACATTCTTAATTTAGTTAAGCTATCATAACTAAAAAATTACAACCTTTCAGGTTCAAAGAAAATTTTGAAAAGCCCATACTCCGTGGAAATGACAAGCATGCTTCTGACAGAGATCAACGTGTTGGTTCATCTGTAGCAAAGGTAAGGATTATTTGTGTTCCAAAATCTAGTTTCTGTGACTTCGTCTTTGGCTTTTGTGATGGCAAAGAGTATATATTACGTTGGCTTTGTTCTT